GCCATGCTTCGGATATAGGACTTAGAGCAATGGAGTGGGATTTGACCTGGAGGCCTTCTACCGGAAGTAATGCTAGATGATAATATGCAAACTGTCAAGGGAGGAAAAACAATCAATGGTCCATCCCAGCCCTAAACCCTAATCACCATAACGAATGCAAGGCAAACTACCTCTATTGGTGCAGTAGTGACACTATTATCTGGGGGGCAATCAACAGCTATCTAATTGGACTCAAAGCCTTCTCAATGGGAGTGAACTCATGGCTGGCACTGCAAACTCCGCCAAATACACATGGTAGGCAAGGACACAGATCCTAAAGAAAACCCTATTCTCTTTCATATCTCTAGACAAATGAAATTTTTTATCATATGCTAAATATGGATCCTTATATTTACAGACAAGGTACCACACACCTTTCATCAAAGAAGCTCCTTTTTGCAATAGATGGAGGCGACTGCAGAATTCTATAACTGCTCAGACAGAAAATATACGTCAGAGAGATGCCAAGAACTAGGTGACACATCTGCAGGTGAACCTCTACACCTAAGGCTCATGGAACATAGTGGAACAAGGGGTAGAGAGAAAACTAATGTAGCCCTCAACTCTTACCAGTAAAGATTCCTTATAAAACAGAGTGTGATGCACACAGAAGGCCACAACTGGCAAAGTTTTAAAGAATAAGAGACTGCAGAGCATGTGTCCCTGGACAGGACTCCTATATTGAACCTTACCCACTCACTGATCAGGGACCATTGGGGAAGAAGGGGTGGAACGTGTAAGAGCTATGGCTGCGTTCATGAACACTGGGCTTTCAGGCCACTGGAAGCTTGCACATGTGAACTTGTGGCAATGGTGGCATGGAGCATAGGACCCATGCCAACTCAATTACACAAGGGCCCAGAGGGGAGGAGAGAAATGTATGGTGGGCCAGCCCTAGACTGAGAACTATTGGAGACTGATTGATTGATGCTGGATGATGTCTAGTAGGGTTGGCTATAGACTCTGGTGGACGAATTTACACTGAAGGACATCTAGGTACAAATGCTTGACTGGATAGGACTTAAGGTGTATGATGGAATACATGAGGTGTGGGTACATGGATGGGGGAAGGGGCCTAAATTTGATTAAGAACAGATGTACAAAATTACAAAAGCTCAATAAAAAATGGAAGATACAGAGGCAACTATCAGTAAGTAATGGTCCAATGAGTTTAATGTACTTGCTTCTAGGGCCTCAGGAGACTGCTGTTTTTCACTGTGAATTTTATTACTAATTAACTTTTAAATTTAGGTATATGAAAAACCTGAACAAATTAAAAGTTAGGGGAAAAAGTCTGAAAAAAATTAGATGCTTTAAGTGAATGCTCTCTTTTATGTGGCATCACACACCTCCATGTATGCTGGGTAGTATGTTCATGTATGTTTTTTTTTCTCTATTTCTGTATGCAAATAATCTAAGAGCTAAAATGGCTGAAAGAGATCCTGTCTCACTTTTCATTTCCCCAATATAATAATAAAAGAACATGTGGATTATTTTCTCAAATCACGTATCCTCTCTTGTGAATGTTAATTATTCCATTTCAATGGATCTAGAAGATGTTCTAAACAAACAATCATATTGTAATGAGAAGTGGTTGTGTTTACTGGCTGGCACATGCCCTCTTCTTTCTCTTAATGCTCCACCCAAGAGAGTTCAACATTTAGTATTTGAGAGCTAAGAGGTGGATCAAACATGCTAGGTCCTGTCCTAATGATTGCATGAAACATCTTTCTGAAGTGAAGAATATTATTTCATTAGCCACTTGCTGAATTTAAATGATAGAGAAGGAAAGTCACTGTAGAGTTTTCTATCATGAAAAATAAATACCACCTAAAAGTCAAAAAGCCAACAGTGAAGAATGTTCTCAATAGTCATTTTTGCTTAATTACTATTTGGAGCTATATAAAAGGCATTGCAGTTCAGTCTGTTTCCTAATTTTACAGGAGGGAAAACCATTGCCTAAAAAAATTCAATGGCTTGACAGAAATTAACCCAGTGCTTTCTCCCAGCTTTCCAAGGTTACATAACTTGTAGTATGTAGGGTCTACCCTTTATGAGAAGTTGGAAATGGAGTCAATTAATTAGATATTGTAAGCCCCCCCCCCCCAAAGGCTGCTTCAGACTACCAGGGTACTTTGGAAACACACACACATACACACCAAGAAAACCTACCCATAAAACTTCTTACTTTTTCACTGTACAAATAAATGCACTATAGAAAATAATCTGAACTAAAAAAGAAGTTATTCATTATATATGCAAAAGCTAATCATATATTAATGATTCAACGTATTTTTTCCTAAGTGTTTTAGCTTATTTCTGTATCTCATTTTGCAATTAAAAATAAACCTTCTGGAAGTTGATATATTTACTATAAAAACATTTACCACAAAGGCTTTTAAAATGTGGATATCTAGGGAATAAGGCAGTAGGAAAGAATATCAAAGTCCTCAAATCAATCAACCTCTGATTTCTTAGGGGACTCAACACTCTATTTCTCCCATTCTCTAATTCCTAGGATGACAGATCAATGAACAGACCTGTCTTAAAGAGGAATGCCATTGCATTCATTTTTCTGCAATCTTAAGATTATCAAAACATTTAAAGAATTGTGTTCCTTAGATTACATCCATATCTCTTAGAACATTTCTTTATTCAGCATGCATTTGGCACTCTTCACTCATGATGTTTTTGGTATACTAACTCATTGTACAGAAGAGGAAATGAAACAGTTATTTTATATACGTATATTTGTTCTACCCATCTGGACTATAAACTCTTCATGAAATAGTTTGCCTTCTCTCGTTTAACTCCCTCTATAAAAAGCTTTTCTTTGAGATAGATATCAATTTTAGTTGCTAGCACTGTCAATTACATATTAGAGTATTTTTGAATTGCTGTTTTAAGTTAATTCCTTCTCCATAGTTATTTCTCCTAGTCATTTGAAGACATTTAAAATAGACATTGGGAACAGCTAAAAAGCTCACAGAAAAGGAAAACATAACTGAATGGGACTGTAAAAAGGAACCAAACAGAATAAAATATTATTATATATTTGTCCCAAGAAAGTAATTTTACAGAAAGCAAGACTCATTTCATGATTTGACAATAACATCGGCTATATGTGAATATAATATTGAGATGGATTAATAAATGCACTGTTTGCCTAACTAAAAGGGTTGGTTACAGGTTTAATTTGCTTAACAAAACTAATATGGAGGCTGGAGAAGTAACTCAGTTGAGTACTTGCATAGCATGCACAAATTCCAAGGTTTGATCCCAAGAATTGTACGAAGGGTGTGGCAGTATATACCTGTAATACCAGCACCCATGGAGTGGAGATGGGAGGATGAGAAGTTTGAGGTCATGGCTACATAGTGAATTCAAGGCCAGCCTGGCATGGATTAGACCCAATCTCAAAAATATTTAACATACTATAAATGACATACTGCTTACTGCTACACACATTAAAATAAACTCTCTCTGTATATATAATATATATGTACACACACGCGCGCGCGCGCGCACACACACACACACACACACACACACACACACAGGACCTCAAACATGTGAGACAAATGCTCTACCACTAAATTATACTCCCAGTCCTGTAGTATTATTAAGATGAGTTTCTTCCAGCTCATAACTCATAGAAGGATATGTCAAAGAAGCAAAAACTTCCAGATATGTAAACTGAGGGAAAACACCATGTTTTTTTCTTAATCAAATCATAAAAGCTCATTAAAAGGTTAATAAAGAAAAAAATGACTAAACAATACTGATGAACTATTTTCAGGCATTGACAATTTTAAAATAAGATGATGGGTTTGATACAAATTTAGGTGAAAGATAACTAAGTCTGAAGGTATTGTAGCTCATACCTGTAATCCTAGCACTTGTGAGGTCTGAAGCAAACACAAAAAAGAGATAACTGAGTTCATTTTTATGTTTACTACTCAAAATATCCTTAGGTTAGACTTCGAGAACTTATTTTTAGACAGATATATGGTTAATTTCTAGGGAACTGTAAACCTACAGTTTTGGTTTTATATATGAAGCTTAAGACTCAAGAGCAGGAGTTTAGAAGTTTGGGTGTGTAGAGTACAATTATCTTATAATTTTGCTTCTGGTTTTAATTTTAAATTTCTCTTGAAAAGTACCTCAAATAGTTATAGTCCCTGTTCCCTATATTGGTATACTTATAACTAGTGGAAAAAGGGATATTAAAAAACCCTCTACATTTTCAAAGTTGTAAGGTGGTTTATGAAAGTAAATTTTAGTTTTCAATATACGGCAAGGTAAAATAAAAGTATTTATCCAGGAAGATAGTTGAATTAACAGTATTATAAATAGGGTACAAGAATGTTCTGTTCCCTGATCCAAGACTAAGGTCTCTGTTACATGTTGCCAGTACTTAGGTACACATAAATTGTTTTATTCAGTTTATGCTCTATTTATATATACTTTGTTTAGAAAATTCACTTACCATTTGCTTTTTCTTTAAAAGGTATACTTTTTTTTCTTTTTGTCTTATTGAGACAGGGTCTTGCTATGCATCCCAAGCTGGCCTGGAACTCACAATTCTTTCATCCCCAGTCACTAGAGTACTGATATGTCAAGTGAGTACCACCATGCCCAGGCAACAGGTATATTTTTTAAGTGTTAATTATGCTTCATGTTAAATTATTTCCAATGCATAATTTGAAAACTTCTGTAAAATTTGCTGATGAAATAAGGGAAAGAGAATGGAAGAAAAAGGAAGGCAGGAAAGGAGGAAGAGTGAATCAAGGAATTTACCTCACTTATTCATTGTTTTTGAGACAAGGTCTCTTGTAGGCCAGGCTGGCCTTGAACTCACTGTGTAGCCAAGGATAACTTTGAACTTCTGATCCTCCTGCCTCCATCCCCAGAATGCTAGGATTACAGGCATACACCTTTTACCCTCAGATCTTCCTTTTGTTTGTAGAAGACACACACTACGATATAACCTTTGCTCTAAGATTGGCAGCCCTAAATATTGCATGTTATAGACTTATTCCTGTTCCTAAAGGAATGAGGGACAGATACTGCTTTGTGGAATTCAACCATTATTTAAGTCCCATCCACTTTTACTATTGCTTAGATGCATGCAATGTTTGGGTGCTGCATGTTTCCTCTAGCTATAAGAAGAAACAATGGGGTAGTAGTATTTAGTTATGAGAACAAGTGCATCTAATTATTCTGGGAGAATCATTAGGTTTTCTACAACATACAGGTCTATTTCTATTAGGAAAGTTTGTAAACTTTGTAAATTCCTTAATGCTTAGGGTCTCATTTTGCATGGCAATGCCCTTTTCCAATTACTCAACACACTGGGATACATTGTTAAATGGATTATTGAAGTGACAGACCAGGTCCTTACACCTGACGAAGTAGTCTTGAGTATAAATTAGGAGCCCTGGGATATGTATGCTCTCCTTTAATCTCTGGGGTGATATTACTACACTGAATCACAGAAATAGCGAACTAAAAGGTCAAAATATGAGTCAGTAATTAAAAATTGATGGAGAGATTTCTACTATTGATAAAGTGTTTTTAGTAGCTGCTTTCAAACTGCTACTTTTCCAATTTGGAGTTAATATTAGCTTAAATAAAACTTCATACTAGCCCTTTATTCCCACTAACATACTTTGAAGAAAATGTTTAACTTTAATCATATAAACACCAAAGATTATAAATGACATTGTCCTTATCTGAAAATCTAAAAAATCATTCTGAAAATTTCCTAAGTAATGCCATGTTAATACTTCCAATTTCTAGAAATAAATGAGTATTTTATGATAACTGTGTGTAAAGTACTATACTGTTAAATTAATACAAAACTTTCACTATTAATTGATACATTTCTGCATGAATTTGAGAACATAAAGAAATATGGTCTCTGGAAATAGACCTTTTGAGCTTCTCAAGGTCATTAAGAATATTACCTAAACATGAACAAAGATATGGAATTTTGAAGGTAATATCATTAAAGAAGAGATGTCAGCTAAAAAAAAAAAAAAGAAAGAAAAAGAATATTACCTAAAAAACAAAACAAAACAAAACAAAACAAAAACCAACTGGGTAAATGAAATGTGTTCATAAAAATATTACCTTGCAGGAAAACCAAAACATGACATACTCAAACAGGTGAAATCTGCTTTTATCTCAATATTATTTGCTTTAAATCAGCTGTGCCGTCTACATTTTAAACACAGAGGCTAGCACATCTTATCAGTTTATAAACATGTTGCGTATATTAAAGAGCTCACTTTCTCAAAACATTCAATTTGAGGGGTGAGACAATGTGAGAGATAAACAATGCCTAGCTAGTTTTGAAAACCAGAGGGCACCATATTACTTCTACAACCTACTGACAAATTATACATAGGAGATCAAGAAATATATGCCTAGGTAAGTTTTATCTGACAACAATTGGTCTTTGCCCAAGATTTATCTACATGACACACTGTAATTAAAAGTTCCAGACTGATGGAACTAACCTTCTTGAATGTTTAACAGACATGCTTTGAGGCCTATACTAATTTTGTCAGAGGGACATAAAGGACAGTTTTTGCTCCTTGCCCTCCTAGGTCAACTAAGTTCTAGGGGCACTATGAGCATCTCTCAAAAGGAGACCCCACCAGATGGACTTGAACCAGTGTCCAGTCTACAAAGAGGCAGGTAAACACAGAGGAATCATTTCTTCCATGCTTCCAAGAGAAGCCAACCATGGTCAAGCAGGACCTTTGACTTATCTTCACATAGGCAGAACTGGTAAAAGAAAGGAGCCAGGGGCTCCTCCCAAGCTCATGTGACCCCTCAGGAACGATCCTCAAATGACCTTAGGAGTAAAAATAAATTGGTTTATCTGGGCCAACTGTATGGCCTTAAACACCCAAAAGGAAAGTGTAACCAAAGATTAAAGGGGCCAATATAATTTAAGAGTCCATATGCATAGCTAAAAGTTACATAACAAGCTACAATGCCAGATAGGAGATACCTTCTTTTGAGTTGTGGGCCAGGGTGGCCAAAGAGACTCCCAGATTGTAACCCAGCATAGAACTGGGAAAAGGAACAGCAGACACCAATCTTATCTAAAGGAATATTGACAACTGATTGCTGCTAGATGAGGAACAGCTGACCCTCCTGAAACAAAGACCTCTAGATAGGCTGACTAGATTCACCAGAAGGGTGAGTAGTAGGGAATGGCTGGGGGTGCTGACAACACAGCAGACAGCAGCAGGGATATCAGAATATAAGGGCTCTCTCTAGTGGGGGGAGGGAGGCTATGAGAGGGCGCCATATGGGAAGTGGGTGTAATAGTTGAGTAGGATGTTTTGAGATGTTCTTTGTTATATACACACACCAAAAAAACAACAAATTTTTAAAAAATGTATTATATTTGAGGAGGAAGAATGGAAATTCATGTCATGCTAATTAGTAGAGGTGATAAACAATACCACTGAAATCTACCCAATGACTTTACAGACATACACAAGTGCCAAGGATCCAAGTGCAACTGCTTATGATTAGTAATAATCAGATACATCCAGATTAGAGGTGCAAGC